CTTACATACCTGGGTTTTTGCTTGTGACCTCGGGGGTTTCATATGGAGCAGGTGGAGAGGGCACAGTAGCTATGTCTAAGGTGCCCCAGTGGAATGGGCTCTGTATGGGGTCCGGAGAGATCTCTGGCGAGACGTTGTCTTCCGGGATTCACTGCCTCTCCAGTTTATATTCTTACCAATAGTGAGTAAAGGTTTATTTTTTCATCCCTGCCAATACTGGCTATTTTTAATATTTTTTATGTACTCCCCTTTTTTTGTTGTGAGGTGGTATTTCATTGTTTTGATTTGCATTTCCCTGATAATTATTGATGATAAAACACTTTCTAATATGCCTTCTGGCTTTCCATGTGTCTTCTTCTAGGAAGTGACTATTTATCGGGGAGCATTTAATTAAGATTTCTGTAAGAGATTTGCCATCTGAATTTCCACACTTTATTCTCTTGACTCTTAAGTCATTGGAATGCAACTGTCTCTTACCCTTTTACTTTTCTCTCCACTGAAAATTTTATGAAATTTTTGCTATGTGCATTCTACTTGTCTACAGGCCCAAGATCTGTGGGGAAACAAAAGACCCCTGACTGGAGAAAAAAGCTGGGACTTATCATAACTTCTTCAAAGAGGCTCACCTGATCATTACATGTTTCCCCTCCTGTTGGTCTTTAGTGGAATTCTTCCTACTTTAAGAGAGGAGGTTACGTGATAATTTTTTTTTCCCATTTGAAACTTTAGTTAACTCATGATCTACAAAGTTGTTCATAATACAGTCATTTCAGGTATTCAGTATCCAGCACCAATCCCACCACCAGCCTGACTTTCCCTCCACCAATGTCCCAAGTTACCCTGTCCCCCACCCTAGCCTTCCCCTTTAGCAGACAGAAAATAATTTACTTTATATTGCTTATTACAACAAATACTAAAGTTATTGTCCAAGGGTTTGCTGAGCTGTTAGGGGCTAGTTGAACCTGCTGTGCTATTGTTTTCTGTAATTGAGCTTAGTGGGCTTCTACACAACTCTCCCATCTAGTTTTGTTTTCATAAGCTATATAATTTAATGATAATTTTATTACCTGTTGACACTTTTTACGTAAAGTTGTGAATAAGTTTATTTTATTTCTATTTAGACAAGTATCATTTTCCAAATTGGGTAGGGCACTGATATTTCACAAAACAGAACCGGGTTTGATCCCTGGCATCCCGTACTATGCCTTGAGTACCTCCAGGAATAATTCCTGAGTGCAGAGGCATGAGTACATAAGCATCACTGGGTAAATAGACATAGACATACATCTTTGTCTCCATTCTTTTCAGAAATGCTTAAATATATTGTTCAAAAATAAATTTTGAGGTCTTATTCTGACCCAAGTATATATTAACTTAAAGTAATAATCTAGATTCCTTGGGGAAACTGCATTCTTCTAGGAGAAATACAAAATAACTAAGGAAACTAAACATGTGTATCTGCATATACATCTATATACTTATTTAATAAATGTAATAATTGCAAGTAATGATATACAGTATAAATAAAAGAACAAGTAAAGAAATAGGGTCTGGAGAGGTAGTAAAGCAGGTAGGCATTTGTCTTACATGTAGCCAGCCCAGGTTTGATCCCGGATACTACATATGGTCATCCCAGAGCCTCACTGGGAGCGATCACTGAGCACAGAGCCAGAAGTAAGTCCTGAGCACTGCTAGGTATAATTCATGGATAAGCTTTGAAAAATCTGTGGAGATATAAATACATTAATGGTTGCCCAATGCAGGATTACAGGACTGTGGGTAAGAGTGGATTAGAGAATGAAAATGAGGAAATTAGCAATGACTGATAATAAGCCTGAGACTTCTTTTTGAAGTTTTTCCGGAAAGAAAAAAGTTATAAAATTAGGTTAAATATACTAAAAAACAAAAACATTAAGTTGTAGTGGCCAGAGCAATAGTTTTGCAGGCAGGACACTTGCATAATACATGACCAATCTGGTTTCAATCCCCAGCATGCCACATGGTCCTTCAAGTTCCACCAGGTGTGGTTCCCTGAGAGCCAGGATTAAGCTCCGAGCACCACTTATGTATGCCCCTCACCCAAAATAATAAAATTAAAAATCAACAATATTTTTTCTAATTAATATGCAATGTCTTTTTAATTTATCTCAGTCTTCAGTTTTGTTCATCAGTGTTTTGTAGTTTTTAGTGTAACAGTGTTTTCTCTTTTGGTTAAATATATTTCCAGGTATTTTATTTATTGTCCCTAAGATTATATTCACATCTCTTTCTGTTAGAGATGCAGAAGATTTATGTATAGAATTTTTTGTAACATACTTTACAGAGTTATTTTATTCAACAACTTTTGATGAAGCCTTTAGGGTTTTCTATATAAAATGTACCATCTACTAATAGCAATAGCTTTCTTCTTCCTTTCTAATTTTAATATCTTATTTTTCTTACTTACTTGTTCTGACTAGGAATAAGGTTTACAGAAATAGAACTAAGAGTCCCAAAATTACTTCTAAAATCACAAAATACCTCAAATAGACAAGCAGTCTTGAGAAAGAAAAATCATGCTGGAGACATCATGGTCCTGATTTCAAACTATATTACAAAATTATATAATAAAAAATCTTATTGGCATAAAAACAGACAGGAATTAATGGAATAATATAAAGTGCACAGAAATAAACCTGAGCATGTATGGTTAGTTTGTCAGAAAGCAGTCAAGAGCATGCAATACGAAAGGAGAGTTCCTCTTCAATAAATGGTGCTTGGAAAGTTAGACAGCCTCTTGTTAAAGAATGAGACTAAGTTGGACTACTGTCTTAACACCATATGCAAAAATTAACTCAAAATTGCTTAAGGACTAGAATATGGACCTAAGAGATAACTGCATGGACTGGAGCTGTGCTTTTTGCCTGTAGGGGCCTGTGTTCAATCCCTGACACTGCATGGTTCCCTTAAAACTTGGGGAGCAATCCCCAAGCACAGGACTAGTATTAATCTCCAAATACTGTCGGGAGTGACAGCCCCCAAAAGAAAAAATAAAGACATTGTTACAAGACTTAAAATTGGAAGACTAATATGGAAATGGAAGACTAATATGAAAATATATAGTAAGTTCCTTAACATCAGTCTTGATCATTTTCTTGGATCCAATAGTGATAGCAAGAAGAGCAAAAGTAACTACAGCAAACTCATTTCTGCCCAGGAAAGGAAATCATTCACAATATAAAAGGCCAAGATACAGAAGAAAATATTGGTAAATCACTTATCTAATAAAGATTTAATATCTAAAATATGTAAAGTGTAGTCAGAGAGATAGTATAAAAGGTGGGTCTCTTGCCGTGCATATAGTTGACTTGGGTTTGATTCCCAGAATTCCGTATGTTCCCCCAAGGACTGCCAGGCATGATTCCTCAGTGCAGAGCTTAGTAACCTCTACTCATTTCCAGTATGGCACCCAGACAAAAAATATATATAAACAATTTATATGTTCTAAATTGTTTTTTTGGGGGGTGGGGTAGGAGTGGGGGTTGGCTTTAGGTTTTGGGTCATACCAAGCAATACTCAGGGCTTATTTCTAGGACTATGCTTAGGAATCACTGCAGGTAGGGCTTAGTGGACCACATGGGTGCCAGAGTTCAAACCCGGTTTAGCTGTGTGCAAGATAAGACACTACCCTCTATTACACTGCCCCTCATTTTTTTTTAAACTTTTGCACCATCAGCTGTAGTCCAGGTGTACGCTGAACCTTGTTGGCTGTAGCCTTGTAAGTTAAGGTCCAGAAAGATAGTACAGTTGGTAAAGTGCTTGCCTTGCACATGGCTGACCCAGTTTCAGTCAACTCTGGCATCACTTAATATCCCCCAAGTCCCACCAGTAGTGAGCCCTGAGTGCACAGTCAGGAATATGCCCTGAGCCCATCTGAGTATGGCCCAGTAACTAAACAGCCACAAAATCCAAAGGAATATAATGTGTAGCATGGTGGCTAACATTATTTATAGTGTGTATATTGCTGATAGTCTTAAAGTTATTTTCAGAATAAAAAGGGTGACTTAAAATGATGGATTTAACTAGATGTATTTTTTCATTTCATAGTGTTTACAAATAATTGGTCATTATGTTGCATACTATTACAATGCTGAAATGTATATGCTTTTTTGTCAGTTATACTCTAAAAGATTTCAATCATTGCCATTCTCTACTACCTAAAGCAGCTGAGCACCACTATTTAATGCTGAAATGAATATATGCTTTTTGTCAGTTACATCTCATTTTAAAATAAATCAATGATCATTCTCTACTATTTAAAGCAGCTGAACTCCATTTATCTGTTAATTTGTAGATTAAAAATGGAGCAGTATATTTCTGTGATAACTGGTGAGTTTAAATGTTTTAGAAGTGTTTTTTCTTGTTTTGGTCCTTAAAATGACTGTTAAATGAAAAATATGCATTTAACCAGAACTATAAAGAATTTTATTTTTCATCTTTGATCCACCTTTACCATTGAATGTGCTGTTGTTTGATATTTTTGTTTTTATCTTTTTAATGCCCCAACTGGGCACTGTTTTTGATGTATAACAACATTTGCTTTTGGATATATTCACATAAATATCCTTTGATTTCTGTGCTAGTAAGCTTCCATTATACCTTCCTACTGTATTTCACAAATTTTAACTATATTAGATAAGGCCTGGGCTGGAACGATAGCACAGTGGTAGGGTGTTCGCCTTACAAGTGGCCAACATGGCCGACCCGAGTTCAATTCCTCCACCCCTCTCGGAGAGCCCGGCAAGCTACCGAGAGTATTCGATATGCCAAACACAGTAACAACAAAGTCTCCAATGGAGACGTTACTGGGCCCGCTCGAGCAAATCGACGATCAACGGGAGGGCCAATAGAGGCTCTCAGTTTTAATTTATGTTGTTGCAAAATACCTTTGTGTCACTTTCATTCTTGCCTGATGACTTAAAGGACATAAAATCCTATATTGACAATCATTTTTTCCTCAGCACTCTGAAGATACTATTCCACTGTCTTCTGCCTTCTATTGTTGCTCTTGGGGAATCTGCCATCTGTCTCATTGTTGTTCCCTTTGTAAGTAATCTATATTTCCTGACTTTTTAAGATATGTTTGGTAAGATTTTATATAGTTAATTGTATTATTTATTTCTTGAAGCTTAATATTTTCTTTTTCCCCAGATATATTTTTAGTATTCTGTGTAGATATTTGTCATGATTTTCATATTTTGCACCTTGATTTTCATATTTTGCACCTTCTATATTTCAAGTTTTTATACACATTGACCAATTTCTGAGGAATGGGTCTAATTATGTAGTTTCTTATATGTGGGATAATGTGTAATGATATATAGCTTTTTTTAATTTAGCATTTAGGCCTTACGCAGTAACAGCAAGTCTCACAATAGAGACGTTACTGGGCCTGCTGTAGCAAGTCAATGAATAACGGGAGCACAGTGCTACAGCTTTTAGGCCAGAATGGAAATATGTTTCATCTATTTCCTTTCAAGGTCAGGGTGAAAAAAATTCTTTTCCAACTGTCGGCCTTAGTTCTGATTTTGAGAAGTAAAGAAGTAAAGTTCTAAAGAAGAAGTAGTAGTAGTAAAGAAGAAGTAGAGAAGTAAAGTTCTGTTCCTTGAAAATTTGTTGAACTAAGGTTTTATGTCAATTTTTTAAAGGCAATTGGAGTCAGCCAGTGTTCTGAGAGTACTTGTGACTTTAGAGATATGTTTTGGTTTTGTTTTGGTAGTGCTCAAGGATTACTGCTAGTGGGGTTCAGGAGAACCATATGGAGTGCTGGGAATTGAAGTCTGGTTGTGTGTGTTCTGACCACTCAACTGTCTCTCTGGCCTTTTCAGAGATTTTTAACTTTGTGGTTTTCACTTCTTTGTGTGTGCTTTGATCATTATTTCCTTTTAAGTAAAAACTTTGTAGAAGAATGATAGTCATTTTATCCAGCATTTCACAATATTTTCAAGAAATCTGATACATTCATCTTAGAAAAATTGAATGAATTTGAGTTAATTCAAACAGTGTTGAGTCCTACTTTTAAGTATGCTGTATCAATATGCATGCTAGTTTGTGTCATTTTGTGGATTTTTTCTTAAAAGGTCCGCACTTTTATTTTCTATGCAGAACTTTGGAAATCAAACCTAAGTTTCATGCATGCAAGACATACCCTTTACTATAGTCACATCGCTGGACCTTCACGTTTCTTATTAAGTACTATCCTTAGTATTTTATACATTTTACTTGGAATATATATTAGGAATATTTTGTTCTGTGATATTTTCTGAATGGCTGAAATATACTGCTAAATTTCATGCAATTTCAGAGTTACTAACTACCCATAGTATTTAGATCTTAACTGTTTCTATATTTCACTTTTATTATGAAAATTACCTTAATTCTAAGATTATATACTTTTTTCAGTTTTTGTAATTTATAATTTTATTCTAATGTGGTTAAGATGTTATGTTTTGCTGTACTAAAGCTTAAAATAAAACTTTCCTTTTATTCACATATTTCTGACAACAGAAGTTTTGTGGGGCATATTTCTGACACTGGAAGTGTGGGGTTTTCCACCACAAAAAATTCTCCAGTTCTTAGTTGACACCAACTATGTTCTCTAATTTCTGTCACTGTTTAGGGTTAGCACAGACCCCAGTGATTTCGGGTTCATTACCACAAAACTACCCCTTTCCATTTGAATGCCTATAACATGTTGCAAATAGTCATTTATACTTCTGACTCGCTATAAAATGGGAAATGCTATGATCCTTTCCTTGGGTTCAGTAACTGCCTAGAATGAGACATAGAATTTTTATATCATAGTATTAAAGTTCTTTACTCTGTAGATTTATCTGTTTCTCTTTATATGTATCAATTATTCAAATGTGAATTTTAAGTTGCAGAATAATGGACATGGTTGTTATAATTTTTTCCTTTTGACTCTAACATAAATACCTTGAGCTGATCTCATTGAGGAAACTGAAATAGTCAGAAAACTTTTACATTTCTGCTGCTTTGTATCTACTTACCTGCATATATACTCATTTTCTGTCTCTTCCTATGATAGATGAATTTTTGGTGATGTTATGTTAGAATAGTACTTCCAGTTTTGTACTAAATGCTAACCTGTTTATTGGCAATTTTGGAACCATTTTTCTCTGCCTCTTGCAATGTCTTTTTTTCATATTTGTTATCATTTTCATCAGCAAACATATAATTTCTCCCTTCTGAAAGGACAGATAAATCAGAGGCAAATCTCTCTGCATGCTTTCCTCTTGGTGTGGCCCTTTTTTCTGTTACTTTTGGGCCGGAATGATAGTTCAGCAAGTAGGTCCTTTTCCTTGCACACAGCCATTGTGGATTAGATTCCCAGCTCTCCATATGGTTCCCCCAAGCTCACAAGGAGTGATCCTGAGTATAGAGCTAGGACTAATTCCTGACCACTGTTAGTATGACCCTAAAGCCCTCCTTCCCCCCAAATTTTTATTCCTTCTTTCTATCTCAAGTACTTGTATGCTTTTAATTCTTAAGTCAGAACTTGCCTCCATGGAAATGATCTCATGAATACCATTAAGAACCCTTAATATTGTTAAAGATTTACTAGTATACCTCAACTCTTGGTCTCTTACACAATTGATTGATTGATAAATCCTCCTCCTAGCAAGTTTCTTCCCCAGGCCCCAGGGGTGCCATAGTCTCCCAGGTTTTTTGGTTCCTTATTACTTGCTCGTTACTAGTTTCCTTTGCTGGTTCCTTTTTATTGTTTGTTTGAGTGCAAAATAAAAATGAAATGCCCCAGGATTCAGTCTTCAAACTTCCCTTTTCTTTCTTTCTCTGCTTTATCTATAAACTCTCTTTATATAATCTTATTCAGTTTCTTAGCTTTAAATATTACCTTTCCTTTGACAACACACAAATTTATATGTCAAATCTGTTATCTCCCCAGCATCCCATGTTTGCATATTTCTGACTATTCATTATAATTTTTATGGAATATAATAGTTCAAAAGTAAATTCTCAATTTTCTTTCTCATACCTGTTCTTACTAACAATGAGTTTTCAGTAAATGACATTTCATTTTTTCAGTTTTCCAGAAAATACATGTAGCTTTCTTTGGCCTCTGTATTTTATTTTTCATGTCCAACCCATTACCAAAGAGTGTAGAGAATTTTTTAATTTTCTTCACTTACAATTAATGTCTTTTATTTTTCTTTCTTGAATGTATATTAGACACCTGTCTTTACTGTAGTAATGTCAAGAAGAATAATAGTTTTCTGGGATTAACAGTAGTATTGGCCTTGGATAGAAGAGTAAATTTTAAAAAGACATGAAATGGGATAATTAAACAAAACAGACTGGGTGTGTAACTCAAACAGTAGAATACTTAACCTTGCACATGTGATTACCTGACTTCGAACTCTGGCACTGCAAAAAACAAAACAAGCAAAAACCATGAAATTAAAAAAAATACACAAAACCCTGAAGTAAATAAAGGTAGACAAAAGCCACTTGTATCTTGGTTTCAAAGCTCATGAAGAACTAGATAACCATGCTTAGTATCTAAGAAGCAGTATGCAAGAGGTCAGACAATTGGAGAAATATTTTTCCATTTTATCTTAGATTTACTGTGGTTATATACTTTTGTTTTTATTTGTGAACAGTCGTGAAAGCCACAGGTCAATGATATCCAAGATTATAACTTAGCCTACATACTTCTTAGAGAGGAACATTAAGAGAGTACTTAGGAACAGTAGACTATTGTATATCTTAATCTGTCATAGGTACTTGACTTGAGGCCTTAAAGTATGCTTTTTACCATTTTTAGTTGTTTTGTATTCTCATTCATTTAGTTATGTGTTGTTCTAAGCTAGACATTATAAAGAATAATTATAGAAGTAACATGGAGCCTTGGATGATGTTATACATTTTCAGTGAAGACATTGGTTTCTTACTGATGGGTAGTCTTGAATTACCTTAAGATTAAGGTAGTTTCTGGAGTTGAGATGATGCAAAAATGACTCAAGAATTTCCCATCATACCATTTCTCCCATTTCCATGAGGGAACCCTCGAGGAAACATGGATAATTTATGATGAACTCTGTTTTCCAGCTATTATCACATTAAGCTTATGAAATGTTTCAAAAACATTTTCCTTCACTTCTCAATTCCATTTTCTAAATGAGAGCTAGGGATTAAGTAAGTAGAAAACTGGCCTGAAATGTTGGAATTATAACTACTGAGTATTTCTTTTTTTAATCCATTCTTTGGTCCCATTATTAATTTTCTGGTGTCTTCTATCATGCACCTTTTGTATTTTGATATTTGTGTAATAGCTCTCAAGTAAGAGTGGCTTAAAATCTCTTGTATGATGATAGAAGTGGATATTTAAGGAACAGCAACTGATTTTATTTATTCTCTTCCTCTCAGCCACATCCTTGGCTCTTAAAAGGTGATATATAAATTAGAGCTTAAGAAAAACAGTGATTTTATTTAGGGAGTTTTTTTTCAAAATTAAAAGTAATACCTAATATGTTTCCAAATAGTGAGCAAAGTCAAACAAGCTTATGAGGAGATCATATATATAAATAGAGACTAGATTATAAAGGGCTTTGTTAAAATCCTGGAAGTCATTTGCATTGTATTTTTTAAATAGGATTTTATTTTCAATTTAATTTGGAAACTTTAAAATTTTTGGCTAAAATAGCAAGCAAATCACATCTGAACCAGAATTAATTGGTAGAAGGTTTTTAAGCTAGAGTTATTTAACCTTTGTTTCTAAGTAACTAAGGTCACCCTAAGTCTGCTGTTTTGTATCTAGGATCTTTAATTTTAAAAGCACTCTAGGTGATTTTGTTCATCACCAAAATTTGAGAACCACTGACTAAAAGATTTTTTGAACTCTTCCCTTCTCACTATGATTTTCATTTTTCTCTTGCCTTTCACCTACCTTTTTAAATATATGTTAATGTATGAAACAATTCAAAGTTAATATTTTTTCAAATTCTATTTGTAATTGTGTGCTGTGGCATAAAGTTACTGTACTGGGCATTGATTGTGTATGGTTCAACAGGGTAGGTATTTTATGAAACTAGTTATAAAAAAAGGTAAGTATGTTTAATAGATCAGAATAATTACTAGAAAAAAATTTTTTTTTCTTAATGGGGGGATCACAGTCTCAGGGCTTAACTCCTGGTTAGGGGTCATTCCTGGCAGTGTTTAGAAAACCATATGCAGTGCCAGGGATCAACCCAGGGTTAGCTATGCACCAGGGAAGAAGCTTAATTCTTCCTCTATCTCTTTGGCCAAGGCCAGTCATTTCTTATATTTCCCTATGTATTTCCTTATGTAGTTTTTTCTAGTGTTGAATTTTCTTTTTCTTTTTTTCCTTCTGAAATGGCAACACTAATTCTTAATGTTCTCTTACAGACGTGCTTTCACGGTGTGCAAATAAGAACTTTTCTCTTAAAAAGGACACTTATGAAATAGAAATATGTCAATGGGAGATGAGTGACAAGCTTGAAAACTGTGATCTTAAAGTAGCCAGTTCTAGAGATTATTTGGAGGTCAAAGGCTCATTGGCAAATAAGCAAGATAATCAGGAATATTTCAGACAAGGGATGATTATTCTTGAAACAATGTCTATTTTCAACCAGCGTACTTACCTAACTCAGCATTCTAGATGTCATTCTACTGAGAAGCCCTATAATTGTAAGGAGTGTGGAAAGGCTTTTAGACGAGCCTCACACCTGACTCAGCATCAAAGTATTCACACTGGTGAGAAACCATATTCATGTAAGCAGTGTGGGAAGGCTTTTAGTCGTGATTCACAGCTCATTCTTCATCAGAGACTTCATACTGGTGAGAAACCATATGCATGCAAGGAGTGTGGGAAGGCATTTACACAGAGCTCACAACTTATTTTACATCATAGAATTCATACTGGTGAAAAACCATATAAATGTGAAGAATGTGGGAAAGCTTTTATTCGTAGCTCACAACTCACACGACATCAAAAAGTACATACTGGCGAGAAACCTTATGAATGTAAAGAATGTGGGAAGGCTTTTACACAGAACTCACAACTTAATCTGCACCAGCGACTTCATACTGGTGAGAAACTCTATGAATGTAAAGAATGTAGGAAGGTTTTTACTCAGCTTTCTCAACTTATTCTGCATAAAAGAATTCATACCGGTGAAAAACCCTATGAATGTAAAGAATGTGGGAAAGCTTTCATTTGTGGTTCACAGCTTTCTCAACATCAGAAAATTCATAATGGGGAAAAACCATATGAATGTACAGAGTGTGGAAAGGCCTTTATTCGTGGCTCATTACTTATGCAACATCAAAGGATCCATACTGGTGAAAAGCCCTATAAGTGTGAAGAATGTGGGAAAGCCTTTATCCGTGGCTCACAGCTTACTCAACACCAGAGAATTCATACCAATGAGAAACCTTATGAATGTAAGGAATGTGGAAAAACATTTAGTCATGGCTCACAACTTACTCAACATCAGAGAATACATACTGGTGAAAAGCCCTATTTGTGTAAGGAATGTGGAAAGGCCTTTAATCGTGGCTCACTCCTTACTCGACACCAGAGGATTCATACCGGTGAGAAACCCTATGAATGTAAAGAATGTGGAAAGACCTTTAGTCGTGGCTCAGAACTCACACAACACGAGAGAATTCACACAGGTGAGAAACCCTATGAATGTAAGGAATGTGGGAAGTCGTTTATTCGTGGCTCACAGCTTACGCAACATCAGAGAATTCATACCGGTGAGAAACCTTATGAATGTAAAGAATGTAGAATGGCCTTTACTCAGAGTTCACATCTTTCTCAGCATCAGAGACTTCATACTGGTGAGAGACCCTATGTATGTAATGAATGTGGGAAGGCTTTTGCTCGGGGCTTACTACTTATACAACATCAGAGAATTCATACAGGTGAGAAACCTTATCAGTGTAAAGAATGTGGGAAGGCCTTTATTCGTGGGTCACAACTTAATCAGCATCAACGAATTCACACTGGAGAAAAGCCCTATGAATGCAAGGAATGTGGAAAGGCCTTTAGTCATGGCTCTCAGCTAACTTTACATCAGAGAATCCATACAGGCGAAAAACCTTATGAATGCAAAGAATGTAGGAAAGCCTTTACTCAGAGCTCACATCTTTCTCGACATCAAAGAATTCACACTGGTGAGAAACCATATCAATGTAAGGAGTGTGGGAAGGCCTTTACTCGTGGTTCACAACTAATTCAACATCAGAGAATTCATATCAGCGAGAAATCTTTTGGATATAAGGAATGTGGGATAGACTTTACTCATGGCTCACAAGTTTTTATATGAATGATCTGATTTTCTGTGATTAAGAGAGAGCCTTCTTTAGTCATTATCCTATTATCAGTGTCTTAAAATGTAAACATGGAGGTATGTTTGAAAAAGTTCAGCATCAATAAAGTGGGAGAAAAATGTTAATGTAATTTATCAGAAAATCCTGTTGTTGCAGGAAGCTGGTTAAACTTTAAAATAGTTTAAAATAGGGAGTAATTTTGTTAGTGTAGTAAGTATAGGAAAGTCTTTAGCTTAGCATGTCTTTTTTATAAAATTACTGTCATTTGCTTTCCTTTGTAAAAATTTTTGTTTTGTTTTCCTATTCATCATAATTATTGACCTCTTGTTTGGTTTAATTGTTTGTAAGATAGACCTAACTAAGATTCTTAGAAGTACATGTAAAGCCTTAGAACAGTGCCTTGAACATAACACTTCCCAAATATTAGCTCTTATGGTCACATTAGAATGTTTGTATAAGGTGGATATTTACAAATATTGAGAAATGGACATTTCTTAATAATGCATATTGAAATATCTGTCATTAACTCTTAACCCTGATTATTTTTATGAGGGTCACTGTCATATAATAAATGTGAGAAACCTTTCAACCACATATCTTATATACTGTAAGAGGAGTTCTTACTGTAAAAAGAATTGTAGATTAGTTAGTAGATTGTTGAAGAGTTGTAAAGTGAATTGTAGTGAAGTTGATAATTTTATGTTTATCACTGACCAGAGTTCAGAGACTTTTTTTTAGAAGTTCTAAAAATGGATCAAGACCAAGATGTACCTCTGCATCTCTCCTCACACTTGAGACCCTATTTTCTGATATTCAGCAACAACTGTGCAATAAGGCCAGAGGGATGGTACAGAGGGTAGGGTACTTGCGTTGCATGTGGCCAACTCAGGTTCATTCCCTGACATTCCATACGGATCCCTGAGAACTGCTGGGAGTAATTCCTGAATGCAGAACCAGGTGTAACACCAGAGCAACAAGTGTGGCCCCCCAAAAGAAAGGGAAAATGATGTGTAAAAATTAATAACTGTGAATTTTTTAATATTGAATATATAGCTTTCCAATAAAGAAAATTTGTCATTATAAGTAATTTTGTAGTGAGAAATGGTGTGTCTCAAAACCTGGTAATTACTCAGTAACCATTTTCCTTTTGTAATTTCTGACTGAAAAATTATCTTGGCCACCTTGTAGAGAAAGATGGAGGTGGTATTTGTATGATAGGATGTTTTAGACATCTTTTTCCTCTCTTTATTATTCTCTCCCCTCCCATTCCCCACTCCTATCCACATTGTGGATCTTTAATCTGAAACTCTGGTGTTTTTATGGCTACTTTGAGAATGGTTTTAAGGATAATGGAGCAGAAATTCAGAATAAATCTACACATCTGATTTTCTATGGAATAAGCATATCAAATATGGAATGCCTGCTACTCCTAGAATTTTTTTTAAATATAAGTTTTAAATAAACTTTTCATTGGTGCTGTTTTGTTAATATTGAAACTTCTTAAGAATATAAAATTGTGTGCCTGGACGTGGAATTCTGTCCTTATAAGAAATATCAAATGTGGCATTGAATTAGGATCATGTACTGTAAGGATCTACCCATTTGAGGCCCCCCAAATGGAAGATACTTGTAATTTAATAAACAGGATATTGGACGATGCTTTACCTTACAAGGGAAATATTGGGCCAGTCAAAACTATATTATTAGAGAAGAGAAGAAATGAGTTTAAATATGTTAATTTTTTTTCACTTTGAGTAGTGTCTTATAAAATGCGCGTATAACACAAAACTAGCAGGCTGTCAACAGATACTGAAAGTGAGAGTGCTTTTTAAAGAACATTATCTCTTGGGCTGAATCGATAGTACAGCAGGTAGGGCGCTTGCCTTGCATGTGGTCCACCTGGTTTTGATCCCCGGCACCCCATATTGATCCTCGAGCTACGCCAGGAGTGACCTCTGAGTGTAAAACCAGGATTAAGCTCGTAGCACTGCTGGGTATAGCTAAATAAAAACCTTCCCTGGAGCTCCTCAAACATGCCAGCACAGTCCTTCTGTTTCCCCAGCCCCTCACTCATTGGCTGACTCCACTCTTCAATGGAGTCAAATCTTCACTCTTTCCTTCTCATCTACCCTTATTTCTATATGTCATCTTCATATAATTTCAATATGTCATTTTATACAACAAATGAAAACATCTCTCAAATCCTTTCATTTGTTTATTGGCTTTTGGGGGTCACACCCAGTGATGCTCAGGGATTATTCCTGGCTCTGCACTCAGGAATCACTCCTGGCGATGTTCAGCGGCCATATGGGATACCTATTGGGGATCAAACCCGGGTTGGCCAGATACAAGGCAAATGCCCTATCTGCTGATCTCTCACTCTGGCCCCTCTTAAATCCTTTTGATGGCTCCCCTACCCAGTACCACTTACGTTATAAGATAGAGTAAAACTTTTTACTCAGTCCTCTAATAATAAAAGGGCTCATTGATATATCCGGCATACTTTAAGACGGTGTCAGGAATAGACACTTATACGTTAAGTATATCATGACTAATTTTAGAATCAATCTGGGTGGTGAAAGCTTTTTATCTTCGTTGTTCAGATGACTAACTAGAGTTTGCATAAGTGATGCTGGGTGAAAGAAGTCAGATATATTGGGACCAATCTTACAAATCTTTGTTAGTCATTTTTTATTTTATTCTGGGCGAAATAAGCAATCACTGAAAAACTTTTAAGTAGAGGACATGGTCAGACATGCTATTGTGTTGTAAAAATAAGGTAACAGTACAAGATGACATTAATTCAGATGGAGGTAGTACATAATGGGAAGATACAGTTTAGAGATGTGTTAGATATGATAAAGTAGTGTTTTGTTTGGGTTTTTGGTGGTGTTGTTGTTTTTAGTCCGTAGGTATTAGATATACAAAAAGTCCAGGGTGACTGACAAATATTTCTTTTATCAGCTGAGATTACAATAGCTGCAATTCCACATTTGTGAGAAGTTTTGGAGTTCAGTGCAAAGTCACAATGTTGAGTAAACTTTTGGATGTTCTAAATTTGTATTGTTGAGATTATATGAATTTAATAGTTATTGATTATACTTAAAATCATTTGGCAGTGGGGCAGGATCTGGGTCAAGAATTAGGGCACATGCTTACATGGCAAGGTCCTGTGCTCAATCCGTGGCACTCCATGGCCCCCCCTGGCATTATCAGATGTAGCCCTGATCTCCCATGTGGACCCAATCACCTGTGGGTCTATGGAGAGAATATCCAGAGAGAAAAGAACAGCACGGGCTGAGTGCAGTGCAGTATGAAGGTAAAGGGATAGATCAACAGAAAGACTAAGAATGACTGAGATGGGGAACCAAGTGTGTAATTGAAGGAGCCAAATGAAATTTAGTCAAAGAGAAATGATGGTATCGGATACCATTGACAAGTTACATAATAGAATGTTTGTGAATTGACTAGTATTGATAATGACCTGAGAAGAACAGAGTATTTTAATGGACTCTTAAAAGCCTGATAAAAGCATGCAACTATAGATAGATAGTATTTAAAGGTGTTGCTGCAGAGCAGCATAGAAATGGGCTTGTGTGACAAGAAGAATGGAAATGTTTGTTTTCAACAAATTAGAAAATTTTGACATAATGAGGAAGATGATTGAGGATTTTAAAAATCCACTGGAAAAATGATCTTTCAGGGGCTGAAGAGATAGTACAGTGAGTTAAGCACTAGCCTTGCATGCAGCTGACCTGGGTTGGATTCCCTGCATCCTATATGGTCCCCTGAGTACTAAGAGGAGTGATTTCTGGGTGCAGAGCCAGGAGTATTCCCTGAGCATTGCCACTTGTGGCCCCTAAACAAATGACCTTACATAGATAGATGAGAGGGATAGAATTTTCTGGATGGAAGGGTTAGTATTAACTAGTATGTTTATGGTAGTAGGATGGCAAAATATGGTGTGCAGATAATGGGAAGCAAATAGATGAGGTGGCTGAAGTCTAATGAACTGTTCTTTCAAGATGTAGCAATCATCATTAGCTGAAAGTGTGGAGGATTAAATTTGAAGCATGAAAGAGGTTAAATAGTCAACCAAAGTAAATGAAAGTGTTCTAGAAATGTTGAGTTTTTTTTTTCTCTCTAGCTGGTCCTGGTACACAGAAGATTCATGCTTGTGGGTTTTGTTTTGAGTGTATCCAGCAGAGCTCAGGGCTTACTGGGTACACCCAGTAAGACTGGTCTCAGGGATATGGAAGGTTGGGGATTGAACCGAGGTGAACTGCGTGCAAGGCAAATGCCCTACCCACTGTACTATCTCTGGCTACAAATCATGGACTTTTTCTTGTACCTCATGCATAATTCATTATATTGTGGGTATATATCAACCAAGGAGGCTATATTTAGTAGGACTCAACAATGTATCTAGAAAACATGATCTCTTGGGAATTGTGGTCCAGTCAAAGCCTTCTGATATGAATTGTAGTCTTTAAACCTTCATGATTTTCTAGGTGCTTCCCCTCTAAGTGTTCCTGAAAGCCCTCCAAATACAGTATATGTTTCCAAGCTCTGCACAGTTGTACCGTTTATACAATCCATTGGTATCCTAGAGGTTTTTCTGTTTACTACTTGCTATATGACTGTCTATTTTGGTCCAGGAAATGTAACAAAATTCAATATTCAGGGCAACTGAAGCCATGTCTATGAACCCAAATATGATTTTTGACTTTTATTTTATTTGCAGGGGTGGGGACGGCAGGGGGCTAGAGGGGGAAGGTGCACACCTGCTAGTGCTCAGGGTTTTTCCTAGTTCTGTACTCAGGACTTACTCTTGGAAGGCTCAAGGGGACCATATGGGATGCTGGGAATCATACCCCTGTCTGCCACATGCAAGAAAAGTGTCCTACCCACTGTATACTCTCCGGTCTCTGAACAAAAGAATTTTTTCCCAATCATTTGACAATTGCATGTTCTAGTAGAGATTCTTTTTTTTTTTTTTGATTTCCCAAATTTTATTGCTCGGGATGAAGCAAAGTATTAAGTAAACAGTTGTACAAAGGGGAGTAGGCCAGTTAGGAAGCAGCTAAGGCTTTCTGAATGAGAATAGTCTACAAAACGGAGACTAGGTTGAGCTATATGTAATCTTCAAACAAAACTAAAGGAAGCAGACTTCAGCATACCTTGGTGATAAAGCAACACTTGACGTCTGTTTTTAAAATCAAATATTATTTATATTTTATAGGATCAAAAGCTGAAGTGTTCTAATAATCCCATTCCCCAAGTTGCCTCCTATGGATAAGTTTTTTTTTTTTTTTTTTTTTTATAATTTATTTATTTATTGAATCACTGTGGGAAAAGTTACAGAGCTTTCGAGTTTAGGTCTCAGTCATGTAGATACCGAACACGTTTCCCTTTACCAATACTCATTTTTAACCCTGAACCCCAATAGACCCCCACCTCCCACCCCTCCCAATTCTTGTGAGGCAGATGAGTTCTAGTTAATACTCTATCTACTTTGACTAGATAGATTATTTCGATAGAAGATGCACAATTATTGTTTAGAGTTTACGACCCCCCCCCCCCCCAATCAGACATGCTGAAACAGCGTTGTGAAATGATTTGCTTTCTACAACTTGGTTTAAGAATAAAATGATGTCGCGGCCGCGCGGTTTTGAATTTCTGCTATTTTACTTATTGACCCTGGAAGAATTTCTATTAAAAGTTAGCTAGTTAAGAGATTGATTTCTGTGCCCTGGAGTCGTGGCCGTGCCGGAGAGCCGCTCGTGGGGGGCAGCTGGCGACCTCGGTGGGGCGTGGGGGACGGCCCACAAAGCCCCCCTTCCCATGAGGTCCCCGCCGCTCCCCCGAGCCCGGCTCAAACCCGCTTTCCACAAGGCTCCCGTG